TTGTTCTTATTAAAATTCTAAACATAGATTTTTAAAATATTAACATTGCTGAGTTGAGATGGTATACAGTAAAAAGTGTCAAGAGTAAAACCATCCTTTCTACAATTTTTTTTTTGTGGGCCCAAAGGTTAAACTTTGTGTTAAGTCATTTGATAACTAAAAGATATCTTACTTCAGTTAAGATACCCCAATGTTAATAAAAATATACAGCAAATCTGTACAATATATGTAACACAAATCCTCTTTAAACAGACACCTTCTTTTTGTGGCATATTCTAACCATTTTCTTTTCTTAATTTCATTTTTTAAATTTCAGATGGAAACTCAAATTTTCCAACATATTTTAGTGAAATTTTCACTTTCTATAATTATAGTTTATAATTATAATATGAATATATGAAAACAAAACTGATGCGTCAGGTGGATTAGAATAAAGTACAATTTAGTTCAAACAAAGAACTCATGCGATCTGTACAATGATTGGTTTGCATTATTTTACATTAACCCAAATCTGCTAAAAGTTCAGGGGAGATAATTTCTATCATTTGGATTTCCATCATCCTGGACTTTTGGGTAAAAAAAAATATATTAAACTAACTTCAACGTGACCTATTTTAGAAAAATTTTAAAACAAAAGAAACTTTTCCCAAGGTATTCAAATTTGTCTTTTTTTTTTTTTTTTTTTTTTTAAAAAAAAGGTATTCAGATTTGCTCTTTTTTAAACAACCAAAGGAGTTTTGCATATAGTATTTTCTCATCTGTCTTCAAACATTCCATGGTTTGTTTGTACAGATTACAGAAGACATTTTAAGCAAAATTTATATAAATTTTAAAAAATATTTCAGAAAACAATTATAGATATTATTGTTGTTGTGCAATAAGACACTTTTGACATAAATTTCCATTTGAAATATTCCACCACTTGAAAGAAAATATTTCTATGAATAAAAAAAAATAACTATCATTCTTGAATTTCTGTGATTTAATTTGATTCATGTATTTCTTTCTTCCTTCTAAGTAGGAATTGTATTTAAACAAGTGGACAGTTTTTAGTGAGATGATCAGACTTGCAATCAATATTTGTAAAATTATTACTATGAAAGTTTTTAACATTATTTTTTGACTATGTTTTGTTATATGGCTCATTAGGCTGATTGTCACACCAGGCTTCTTGGGCAGTGCTACGAAAATGGACATATTTAAGTCTTACAATATATCACCACTGTCATATATTTAATTTATTTTATTTGTAAAAGGGCGTAAGAGAAGGATGTGTCTTCTTGCTTGATTTATTCAATCTATACAATGAGACAATTCTGAGAGAATTAGAAGTCCTACCATGATTACCACCATTGCCGGTGGCTACAATCTTAACAACATAAGATATGCAAATGACACAATGTTGATAATAGGCACAGAAAGGAAACTACAAGAAATCCTACAGGAGGCAGAAAAGGAAAACGAAAAGAAAGAACTAAACAACAATTGCAAGAAGACAGAATGCATGATTGTTAGCAGAAGGATGAGGTCAAAATGCAAATAAAATCAAACAAGTACAACAATTTAAATATCTGGAATATCTGAAAAGTGTTTTTACAGAGGGTGAAATGTGTGACCAAAAGTGCCTTCCAAAAGTTAAGCAAAATATCAAGAAACAGAAAAATTTTGTTAGAAACAAAGAAAAGAGTACTGAAATGTTTTATAATACCAGTCCTCTTACATGGCAGTGAATGCTGGACGATCTCCTTACAGAAGAGACTCAAGGCAACAGGTGTGGTTCTACAGAAGGATACTGAGAATAACATAGACTGAACGACGACAAAATGCGAGAAACAAAATTTTAAAGATGGAAACAAAAAGGACACTTATAATTAACATCAGAGGGAGACAGTTGAAATTTCTATGGTGCATAATAAGGAAAGATGGTTTGGAAAATTTGATAGTCACAAGGCAGATCGAAGGCAGGAGGGATACAGGAAAACAAAGCATACCATACCTAGTAAGCTTGAGTAAATGGATGGCAGAACAGGGTTTAGGAGAGATAACAAAAAGACAAAATTTATTAGGATCTACAAAGGATAGAAAATTGTGCAAAGCCATAATTGATAACACCATGAGGGGACATGGCACATAGAAGATTGGCTGTGTTAAAGAAAGACACTAAAATGTAACATGCATGGTTAGAAATCATTTAAAAACACACCAAATATGACTTAAATTTAAGACACTTTCCATTTTTTGAATTTCTACAATAATTGTTGGCAAACTCTAAAGTAATTAGAGAATTAATTTCATTTAAAATTTGAAGTTAACTTTATGTGGGCTTCTACTAATCCCTACTCAACAGGAGTTGAGTGTTAAAATAATTTTGAGTATAGATATAGAAAAATTGTTTTTTTTTGTTTTTTTTTTAAATGAAATTTGAATATTTTAAGGATGAAATGAAAAGATGAATAATTTTTACATGGAAGAATGATACATATATAATAAGAATACATATTCTAAAAACATTTCTATATAAAAATAGATATTTTTAAACATAAAAATGTGTAATAAAAGCATATTTTTTATTAAAGATATAACAAAAACATATTTCTATATTAAAATATGTAACAAAAGGTTTCTATATTAAAATATGTAACAAAAGGTTTCTATATTAAAATATGTAACAAAAGGTTTCTATATTAAAATATGTAACAAAAGGTTTCTATATTAAAATATGTAACAAAAGGTTTCTATATTAAAATATGTAACAAAAGGTTTCTATATTAAAATATGTAACAAAAGGTTTCTATATTAAAATATGTAACAAAAGGTTTCTATATTAAAATATGTAACAAAAGGTTTCTATATTAAAATATGTAACAAAAGGTTTCTATATTAAAATATGTAATGAAAACTTTTATAGGGGGTGCTCCACAAAAAAAAAAAAAAACAAAAAAACAGAAAATTTTAGATTTACTATATGATGAAAAAATATTAACTAACCAATAAAAAAAATTAACATTTTTTTGTTTGATCACCACATCTAAAATTTGTGTTTTTGTTCTGTATTAAGCCATTAAGTTTTCATTCTTTGCTTTTGTTTCCAATAACTGTAACAAAAATTCCATTAAATAAACTGCACCAAATTTCATGGTTTTTTTGTGTGCACATTAAAATATAAGAAAAACATTTCTATATTCAAACATGTAACAAAAACAAATATCTATACAAGAATATGTAAAAAAAAAAAAGTAAAAAAACGTCTACATAAAAATATGTAAAAAAAAAAAATCTTTATAAAACTATGTAAAAGAACATCTTTATAAAAATATATAATTTTTTTTTATGAAATAAAAAGATAACATTATTTCTCATTGATTTTATACAGCAATTAGAAATCTTTTCATTTCTTTTTCTCTTTTAATGTTAACATGATTTTTTTCAGCTTTTGAAACAAATATACAAAAATTGGATCATTATTATTGAGATGAGTGTGAATGAAGACTTTATAGCACTATTCCTACTTATTGTTGTTGTTGTTGTTAAAAGTTATTATATTATTATCATTATTTTATTATTTTCTTTTTTAATTGGGATATAAATTGCTTTCTTTTACATGTTAGAGCATTTTAATGGTACTGCCCTGACAAAATGTAACTATGATGTGTTGTTTTGCTGTGTTATGATATCAAATGCATCCACAAACAAAAATTTGTTCATCATATCACAGAGAATAAAACCCTTCTATAGCATATTTATTTTTTTCAAGATAAAAAAATAAAAATGTAAATTTCTTTCACATCGTTTTAGATTGGGATTTAAGGGAAATAATCAGTAAGTTTAGCAAAGTGTCCAAAAAAAAAACAAAAATAGAAAAATTGACATCACTTAAAATATGAATATCTGAGTAACTACACGTCCCAGACAAACAAAATTAAATAGGCTTAATGTTGAAGAATAAAAGATTTATTTATGAAAATTTGAACAAGATATTCAAAGGGATGTAGAGTTTATAAACGATTTCACAAATGTTCAATACGTACACCACCTCTGATATGACAAGTCAGTAGTGCAGCTCCTGTCAAACACGCTGTAGCATGTTTTTGTGTAATATTCTCCAGTGCCTCAGTGATTCTCTGCTTAAGTTCCTATGGATTTGTTGGAAGAGGGAAGGGATACAGACCTGTCCTTTCATATAGCCACACAGAAAAAAAATCACAAGGGGTCAAGTCAGGTAAACATGGTGGCCATTTCAGCAACACATTGTTATTATCACTGGCACACCTGATTCATCTTCCTGGTAGATTCTCACTGAGATAAAACTGCACTGAGCCACTGGAGAATGGTGATGTAGGACGTATTACAGTGTGTTTGGCAGGAGCTGGACATGTGTCATGTTACAGGTAGTACAAATACTGAAGGTTTATGAAATTGGTCATAAAATCTACAACCCTTTGAATATCTTACTTGAGTTTTCATAAATAAATCTTTCAACATGAAGCCTATTTAATTTTGTTTGCCTCGGACATGTCAAATACTGAAGGTTTATGAAATTGGTCATAAAATCTACAACCCTTTGAATATCTTACTTGAGTTTTCATAAATAAATCTTTCAACATGAAGCCTATTTAATTTTGTTTGCCTCGGACATGTCAAATTTTGGGGGGACACCTTGTACTTGTCTCAATCATTAGCAGACTGATCTATAAATATTAATTTAATGCAATTCAATCAATGATGAAACTGAAAAATATTACTGTTTTACTCTCTGTGACTGTGTTATGTCACAGGTGGTGTGCATAGTGAAGCTTTGTGAAATCAAATATAATATCAACATTCTTTTGAATATCTTGTTTGTATTTTGATAAATAAATATTTTATTGTTCAACATGAAGCCTATTTAATGTCGTTTGTCTGGAGCAGATGATCACATTTTAAATGATGTCAATTTTTGAGAGACACTCTGTACTTGTCCCAATCATTAGTAGATCAATGAAGAAATTGAAAAATATTACCGTTTGAATTTCTCATCTTGAATTGAATTGTATAATTCTCTGCTTGTCTTCAGTTCAATATAATTTCCTTTTGACCCAATACAATCTACTTCTCCAGAAAAAACTGAAACAAAATTTAAAATAGAATCTTAGGAATTCATATGTATGTATAATAATGGGCTGCTATTCATTTGTAAGCAAACTCATCTACTAGAACGACTAGCCAATCCCTGTTGCTTAGGCACATTTGTGTTTGCTAAGAACCCACACAGCCCATCTGTGGTTTATATAACTATACTGAGTTACACTTTCTGCAAGATAATGCATATTCTAGTGTGATCAAGTTTGAACAAGGCCATTACACTCAAACCCTTGATTTGTGACTTCATGCCAGTACAACCATTAACAATGTCTGAATTGTTGTCTACCCAATTTCACTCACAAGGGTTGCATTAACCCATGGTATGGTTTTTCATACACTGGGATTTCTCTCTCAGGCCAGTAACAGCCACAGTTAAATCAACCCTGATGTAATTCAAACCCAGGTCTAATGGTCAGAAAGCAAATATTCTCGCCACATGCCCATATAAATAAATATATATATATATCTATATACTCATAGTAAAAGTTTTATAAATGATCAAAGTGTATAAATAAACTGTTTAAAAAATATCAAATTATAAAGAATTATTTATCGAGGTTATAAAGTAATGACTTTATTGTTCTTATATTTTTGTTCTTTTATGAAAATATTAAGTGAGATATATTCTGAAGTATTTTAGTTTCGTTGAAGAAAAACAAAAATAAGCTGGTCACCCAACTGTGTCCTCACAGAGTGAATGGCTATTGAGTCTAGTTCGAATGACTGTACAGTAGGCTTCGCAATTATTCACAGCAGATGACGTATCTGGCTTGCCGTCTGGTTTATCTACAATACAAAACATAAAAACAATTAGAACTTGTATTTCAACATCTCAGAAGTTTAGAAATTTTTATGAAAAAAAACAAAATGTTATTTCTGTTCATGAAAAAGATGACTGCAGATGATTTTTTTATACAAATGTTGAGTTTAAAACTCTTTCAACAGCAACTTTCCATTCACATGAGTTCTAACACTACTGTTTTGTTATAGCATTGTTGTCTGGCTATAATTTAAGTCAAGAGACTTTGACATATAACACAGACACACAGAGCCTCTAATAAAAGTATAAATTACAATAATTTGAATTTATACTAATTTGAATTTAAAACATTTTAATTAAATTATTTAAATTAAAATTAGTATAAATTAAAATTAATTAGATTTGGCAAGTAGCAATTAGATTTACAACTATTTTGTCTACTGTATATAAGACTACTTCATGTATAGTGTGAGCCTTGAAGTTTTCACAAATTTTAACCTGCTGAGTCTTGTGTAAAATGTAACAAAAATGTATGATTTTTAACCTCTTCAAATAAATTACCCATGTATAGTGCATTTTTTGTATTAAAAAAAAAAAAAATCATTAAAACTCACACTACACTCATGTATATAAACTTCTGAGATGAGGAGTAATTATTTACATTATTTATAAATTAACTATTGCCCTAATCTTTGTTGTTATTATGTTTCAGCTGTTGTGCCCTCAGGCTTTCATAAGGTGCTTGTCAATTCAGATAACCTTTAGAGAATTTCATAATGAAACACTTTATTTAATCCACTAGGCTATGATTCTGTGGGACAAAAGCCTAGTGGATTAAAGTATTGATTTGTAAATTTGGTGACATAGCAATTGTGAGTTCACATCCCTGGGTCAGGCAGTGTGTACTTAGATTTGTGGTAGTGGGGTGAGCAATAACTTTCAGTTTAAATCCATAATCCTGGATCCTTTTGAATACTTGGTTTACATTAGCTTTGTGTTGTACTTTGCTAGCGCTGTTCATTAACACATCGTCCAGGTACCCTACTGTGAAGTCCAGCCCACTTAACATCATGTCCATTGTTTGCTGAAAAATCGCAGGGGCGACTTTGACCCCAAAAGGAAGTCTGTTAAACTTGTATAATCCCTTATGGGTATTGATGCATAGCAGCTTTGAACACTCCTGATCGACTGGAATTTGTAAATACGCGTCACTGAGGTCGATTTTAGAAAAATATTTCCCTCCACTCAGTTTTTCGAATATTTCTTCAGGGCTCGGAAGGGGATAATGGTGATCCTTTAATGCATTGTTTAAACCTGTTGAGAAATCGGCACAAACCCTAATCTCCTTGCCCTTCTTTTAATGTAAACTGTTGGCGTAGCCCACTCACTGTGATCAATTTTTTTGAGGACACCCATGTTTTCGAGTCTTTCTAATTCACCGTCTATTTGTTCTATAGCGGCGTATGGAACCTTTCTTTTCTTTTTGAACACTGGCTGTTCATTTTCTTTGACTTCAAATTTTGCTACCGCTTTTGTACACCTTTCAAGACCGCCTGTAAATATGTCTGGAAAATTCTCTTTTAACTCCCTCTTAAGTTTTTCTGCCTCCACATTCGAATCCTCAACTTTTTGACAAAAAGAGCTTAAAGGCAGATCCCATAGCCTAAATTTTTCGAACAGATCCGTTCCAAAGAGGTTATTTGATTTTCGCATGACAAAAATTTTCGCTTTTTCGGTCTTATTCTGAAAAGAAATATTCATCAATAATTCTCCTTCGAAGGTGATTTTTTCACCACTGACGCTTCTCGCAGTTTTATGTGATTTAATCATAGTGGGTCTCCCAAGCTTCTTCCATGTCTGTATATTAATGATGGAAATATCAGACCCACTATCAAGCTGTAGTCTTACTTTCTTTTTAAACATTTTGACCTGTACAAATTTCCGGATATTTCGTTCCTCAGGTTCAATTTTCGTTAGTTTAATGGATGTCTTCTTTCTACCAGATTTTTTCCTACAATGTGATGCCTTATGCCCTTCTGGTAGCAGTTGTCACATTGTTTGAATTTTAGGGACACTCATTGTACCAATGTTTATCTCCACACCTCCAACACGGTCCAGGTGGATCTTTTTCCTGTTTTTTCCTCTGGTTATTTTTTTGAAGTTAAATTTTTCTTCTGATGGACCTTTTTAATGTGCGACACTCCACTTTCCTCTATGTCACGACTGTCCTGTTTCAACGCAACAAACCGTTCACAGTTTTCCGCTAAGCTTTGTAGTTTTAAATTCGGCTCATTTTCGAGTTTATTTAAAAACACGACGCCTGATCTCAGCGTCTTTACCTAAAACCAGCCCTTGCACAAATATTAAACATTTAAAATTATCTGATGATAATTCCTCCACTTTAAAGTCATCACAATGCTTGTTTACAATACTTGCATAAGTAGTGTAATCATCTTCCTCTCTTCTAGTGACATTCATACACTTATATCTCCTGTGAAAAAGAGAAGTTTTTTAGAAAACAGTTCTGTTAGTAGAGTAACTGTCTCTTGAAAGTTCAACTCACTGGTCTTTTTGGAAGGATAAAATTTACGAACTTTGTATGCTCGGCAGTTCCCAATTTTCTTAGCAGAAACCTAACTTTTTAGCGTCTGTCCATGTACCGCAATCCGATACAAAAATATCCTCATATCTTCTATAGAAATGAGCAAACGTGACATCGTCTTCTGGATTATAATTGAAACTTTCAATAGCGTTCCACACAGCTGTCTGGGAGAATGCGTTATGATTCTCGCTTGCATTCATTAACTGTGTTGCCTCCAGAAGTTTCCTCTGTTCCTCCTGTGTTTTCATAAAGATTTGTTCGATGCATTTCTGTTGTTCCAACAACTCTTTTTTAAATTTCTCCTCACTTTCAAGTTGTCGTTGAAGTTGTTGCTTTTGCAACGTGAGACTTTGTTCCGTTTGAAATTTGAACAATTGAAGAAGAGACTCTCTTAATTCTGCGTCCATGGTACGAATTCAATTTACGCACAATACAGTTTACACTTGTATTAAACAAATCAGTTTTCCCAAGGCTTGCTTACTAAAATTAGTTTGCTCAACTAATACACAAACAAGAAATATGTATTTCTCGTAAAAAACAAAAAATCCGTCGCTTTAAGGAGTGTCGACTAATGGGAAAATCACAAATTTTTTTTCCAACCTCTTTGTGGTTTTGCACAAATATGACTCGAATTTTTAACAGTCTTTGTTAAGCACAAATGACTTACGCGAATATATATTTTTCACTCGACAAATCATTTAACTTTGAAGAGGAGAAAAAATCTTACCGTGACAAAAAAACTCTGGTTTCTTGTAAAGAAACAAAAAAACAGTGAACATCTTTTTTTTTTCGAAACCCTTGGTGTCAGTATTTTCAACTATAATTGACAATATTATTCGCGTTCTCACGCTGTAGACTTTTGGTAGCAAATTTTTGGTTGTTTCTAATAATTTTTTTTTTTACGTTGCCAAATTACTATTGTAGTAATTAATTTGCTATTAATCCTTGCGTATCCACATATCTGTTCGAAATGACGAAAGTGTTTTGCTGTAAAAATCTTGCGAATCCTTCTATTTCAATCACTTTAGGTGATTGTCTGCAGTGATATCGTTTCGATTCCGACGTCGCCAATCTGTTGTGTTGTGGCGCAATAGTAAAAATAAGAAAATCAAGTCGAAGTTGGTTTAAAGAACAAGTGTATTTAACATCACAGATACAAAGGTAGGAAACGGGTACTACTCAGCTAGGCAGTTGTAGTACTGTCGCTGCTTACACCGGGTAGGTATTACTGGCACTATATATAGTGAGAACCGGTGTAATTCCCTTGTGTTAGAGGCCGGTGCAACAGTTATCCAGATTGTCAAGCACCTGATGAAACCCAGAAGGCACAATGGCCAAAATTGTGAGAAGAAAAACATGTAAATAATGTAAATATTCAGTCCTATTTGTTAATATCCTGATCATTAGGTGATTTTGTCCCTAAGACAAATCAAAATACAGTCTAAGGGAGCTTAGTTTTATGAGGTATTTACATTATTAACATTAATTGAGAAGAGATGGATTCATAATTTTCCCAAGGATATTTACATATAAATGAAGGTAAAACCTTTACTGGAGGCTAGCATTTAATTTATACTTTATGTCCAGTACTAAACTGAGGTTCTATTAATAAAGAAAACTTGTGTTTCCAAAAGTCTAATAGTTTGCTTGGACAATTATAAAGCACAACAGATATAAACTTGTCTAAAAAACAAAAAAAAACAAAAAAAAAAAAAAACGAATAAAATAAAATATATACAAATGACACTAAATAAAAGTAATTCTAATTTTGTGTTTCAAGATGAGATGTGAACCTTCAATTTGGTCTCCACTCAAGTTTGTTAGCTTCATTTATGTGTAAATATACTTGGGAAAGTATGAATCCATCTCTTGTTGCTCTAGCTATGGGTTAAATAGCAAGACTTGTATTTGTTTTTGTATCATTGTTATCTACAAAAAATTGTTAAATGCAATATTCATTCACAAGAAAAAAAAAATGTTTTTTTAATCATTTCATCCCAAGCAAGGCAATAAACCCACTAAGATGCAAAGGTTACTGAGTGTGAAAGAATATGAGAAAAAGAAATAAAAAGTAAATCACCTAATGATCAAGATATTAGCAAATAGGACCAAATATTTACATTATTTACATGTGGACTGTTCTAAAATATATTTTGGCTTTAAATAGTTCACAAAGGGTTGATAAGCCATAAAAAAAACCAAATCAATCAATATGGCCTTCATGTTTTTCCTTTATCCACATAAAAAGAGTTTAAAAAAAGTAAAAAAGAAAAAATAGTGGGGGTCCAACCTGCAGTGACATACTGCTCAAATTTCCAACCCCAGTAGCACATCTCTTTCTGAAAATCTGTTCGATTTGCCTCCATATTTTTCTTTTCTTCTGTATCAAACTCACACATATAAAAAGTGTCATTAAACCGTGTCACAGCCAATAGCCATCCTTCACGACTCTCATAAGGAGAACACAGGAGTCGGGTTAAGCAACCTCGCCAACTCACAAAATCTGTGTTTAGGGTGGACCTGTCAAGAAAGAGATTGGGAGTATATTCTTAAAAATCAATATAAATTACAAAATTTTATTAAACAGAGACATTTAATACTTAAACCTGTCTTTAATTTGCACAAATTAGAGAAATACTCGCCATCTAAATCCTGTATGGATTACCCATGTTGCAGATCAAGTGCGACAAGTCACATGCAGCTTGCAGAAATATATTAGCCGAGTTCCTTTTCCTGTTACAGTTAATAGTAAGAGTAAATATTATAGCAATAAAAACAGACATAATTTTTTTAAAGTTCCAGAATAGGAAAAAAAAAATAATAATAATAGTTGGTATGAAAATAGAAAGTCATACAAAAAGAAAAGAACCAAATACAGTAGTTGTGTTATTCCTATGCTTTGTTTTTGTTTCGTTTTTTAAAATTATGTCTGTTTTTATTACTGTAATAAAACTCTGTATCTCTAACTCTATTATATTATATATCTTAACTCTATTAAGATTTTCAAAAAGTAAAAACTTTAAAGTTTTATAACTACAAGTTGGCCATTACCAATTTGGCAATAAGTAATCCAGTTCAGCTAGTCTGGCTCAATCTAGCAGTAGTTTCCACAAAAACAATTTCCAATTTGCTAGGTCGCCAAACAGACCTGCCACTACTATTTGATGGTGTTACTTGCTGCATCAGCTATTTTTGGGGGCACTTTCAAACACTTATAAAGCTTTTCTACTTGTTTTTGTGCATTTTTGTTCTAACCTGCTGAAGTTTAGCCCCAATCATTGTTCAGATGAATATAGCAAGGACTTCTCAAGTTGTAAAGTACAAACACCATTTATTTTTCATAACATGTAAGCTAGAATTTTTTTATTTTCTAAGGAGCAATTTTTATTTTCTTATATTCATCTATTTTGTTTCTGAAACTAACCTAAATTATACAGATTGGCCGTCAACAATCTGTCTGTCAGTAATCTGGTTCATTTAGTAATCTGGCACTATTTTCCATGAGATCACTTCCCAATATCCTGGGATGCTGCACAGAGATGCCACTACTGTTTGGTGGCACTAGTTGCTGCATCAGATTTTATGTGCATTTTCAAACACTGGTAAGGTGTTTCTACTTGTATTTCATGCATTTTTATTCTAACCTGCTAGCATTTAGCCCCATCATGGTTCCAATGAACACAGGAAATGCTTCTTGTGTTGTGAAGTTCAAACACCATATGTTGTCCATAATTTTAGCTTGATGGGTATTTAATTTTTCTTTTTCTTTTATTAACTAACATGTACTGATTTATAGGATATTTTAAAGGTATGGCAGCAGCATTCAAAGCAATGACGAATTGTAGACTTATAAATATAGATTCTATAGAGAAAAATTGTCTAGCACAACACAGTGAACCAACTTTCCTGTATGTTTTTCTTTTGGTATTGTATATGAACAAGGGTAATAAAGGATTTAAAAAATATTTTCAGTGTTTATCAGATATATAGATATTCAGAGTAACAAAACCTAAGGGCTCCTCAAAAAAAAAACCCAAAAAAACTATGGATTTCATCTTACTGTTATAATGACTTTTTTTTTTCTTTTAAGTGAACATCAAGAAAAGGTAAAAAGTTATTCACACCATTTATATCCAGACTATTGTTCTCATCTTTGTTGTTACCAGAACGTTTCAACTGTTGTACCCACCAGCCTTCATCAGGTGTATCCCTAAACAAGAGCAATGGAACAAGAACAGTCTACCACCTAGATTAAATAAAAGGTTCAGTTCAGAATTCCCTGTAGGGTCATGTCAAATCATCCAGGGCATGTCACTCTTGCCACTTCAATTTTGTCCAGTTGTTGACTATGACAAACCCCTAAATTTGACCTTTTAATTCCAAAAATTGTCCAATTTACATCAATTTTTAGTTTTCCCCGGTTTTGAGATTGTGCAAAAAATCATAACCTTTCATAATCTATTTTTGTCTATAAAATTAATTCTAGAGCTTCCCTACTACTAAAAATTGAATAGCTTTTTGGCCCGAGGAATCCAAAAATGCTATATGAAAAGAAAAAAAAAAAAGAGAGAGACTCAGAATTAATCAATTTTGTGTTATTAATGATTTTAATTTTTTCATATCAAGATCAATGGAGCAGGGAAGAATTCCTATGTGGCAGTGCATCTATGACATATATTTTGCATATATTGAAAATTATTTGTACCAAAAAGATAGTCTGATTATTTTGTAGGTTGCTCCAAATAGAAGCTTCAATATTAGTTTAAATTTTGCACTTTTATGTATTTTAAGTATTTCTGTTCAGCCATTGAATAAAGTCTATATGGAGCAAAATAACTGTCAGAATAGAAATGATCAGGATTGGTGGTTGGAAGTTGGGTATATTTAAAATAATATAGAAACAATAAATTTGTCTTGTATCAATCATTGCCTACAAAATTCTGTCAATAGACAAAGCTCTATATCAGCACAGCATTTTATTATGGAATAGAAATTGGGAAAGTAACAAAATGATAGCAATATACAAAAGACCTGATAAAGCAAACATATTTATCTACAAAAAGTATTTACAAAAGTTAAAATACAGTATTGAAATCTATACCATCAGCATAATAAAAAACATTTTTTAATAGAGAATGCAAATGTGAATATTATGAAACAAAATTTTTTAAAGCATTAAAACATTTCTTCAGTTTGAATAATTCTTTCATTATTGTAAACATGAAAGAAGCATTAAAAGTATGTATAGAAGTTATGGGAGATAAAAATTATTGTAAAATTATGTAAATATGTGAATATTTTTAATGATGAAATAACATCTTATCTTATTCCTTCATTTATCAATATTTAATTATTTTCAATTAACTAAAAAGTATTTCTTGTTTAAAAAATTATCAACATGAAATAAAATACATCTGTAATTTATATACAACTAATAGGTGGTGTGTGTGTATATATAGAATCCTAAAAAATAAATCAAGCTGTCCTTGATTGGAAACTTGTAAATGCTACTACTATCTTAATGAAATTGTCATCTGAAAGCTTGTAAGATCTTCCAGTAGCAGTTGCTGATTTTGGAGGTGAAATTTCACATCAAACTTTATTTAGTGGTAAAAAGAAAATGCCATTTCTTGAAGGCCAGTTAAATGTTTTCCTAGAACCATGTGGATGTAAAAATTGGATTTCAACATCACCATGTTCTGCAGTCATCATTTTAACTAAGCCAATCCACCAAACAGAATCATAAACACAGATTACATATGAAGATACATTTGGTACAATCATGTCTGGTTTATCCTTGTTAAAGTCAAATATATATAGTACATTTTTACTTGTGAACTTGTGACAAAATTTTTGTCATTGACATTGGAATGAAATGATGACTGTTCCTTATTCTAGGAACAGTCTTACCCATTTCAAAGCATTCTGTCAGTTGATCTTGAACAGCCAACATATGAGACTGCTAAAAAAAAAACCTTGAATCCTGGGAATATCTATCCTACAAATGTCGAAGAATGCCTTATAATCAAGGATTTGATCCCTTAATGGCATCTGTAAACTTTTGAAATTGGCAAAACCTCCAATTCTATCACATGGTGACCTTTACCATGACTTGTTGCCAAGATCATCAACTCAGCGTCAAGTTGGAAATCCTGCTTATGGTGACATAAATTAAGGAAATTTTGTAATTTTTTTATTGCCCAGCACAACTATCAGAAAAATAATATAGTTTTTCAATACCAGGATATTTGCTAATGTACTCAGTTGTCATTCTTTGTACTTCATAAACAAAAGCTGTGTCATGATTGTTATAATGTGAAATAAAGCACAGAGAATCATGTGAGAGAACACCATGACTATTACTAAAGTAAATGACTACTTGACGTATAGTGCAATACATTTTATTCCAATGATATCCTTGAACCTCATCCTGAATTATAAATTGATTGTTTTCGACAAAATTGCCTAGATAATGGATTCATTTCTTGCTAAATTTTCTTCATTTTTAGATATTTAGCCTGACATTTTACTACATATCAGTGTTTAGTTAAAGTATCAATTGCCTCAACTAGAATTCCTCACATTCATTGTTAGTATTACCAAAGTGGAGCAGTCAGTTGATTGCTATTGTGAATAACGGAATTCAGCATCAAGCTTAAATTCCTGAAGCTCCCCATCCACGAATTCCATTAGTGCATTAGACCCAGCGCACTTTTTACAGTGATACATCATGTATACTCTGTTTCATGGGTCACATACCACCTTCTTGATCAAATCTTTGTATGTTATGTCCCAGCTGATTGTATCCACCAAAAACACACACTGAATGAGTACCACTTGAGTCGGCAATGACATACCATTTTGGGCACAAAGAGCAGAATTTTGAGAATCCTATCTTTAAAAGCAGCATATAGCTCTTTTAAGTTGCACAAAACCAGCCGTTTTTGTTTGTACTCTTTGTTCTCAATACTTATATAGTCTTTACTACCAGGTAACTGTCAGCTAAAATCATCATCATTATAAAATTCAGTTAAGTTGACAATAATTTTCCTCTCTTTGGATTTGGGACTGCTGCTAGTATACCTTTTGTCTTCTTCAAATTCTTGAGTTGTGTGAATGAGGTATTCAGAAACATTGATGTACTTAGCACAGAACAAGCGAGACCATGAATCCAGTACAAGAGTTCATGATACATAACTTTTCAGGATAATGATGCAGTCTTCAGATTCTTGATCATAGCTGTATGCAAATGATCCAGTTCATCACCTTTTGAACAATCATCATTACTTAAACATTACTTAAAGTGCATGGTTCTTCAGTAAGTTCAGTTTTTTCAACACTGTAAGCATGCAAAAACTAATCTTTCAATTTGTTCATAACTTTAGTTAGCTTGGATTTTGGAGATGAGCACAATTCTTAGAAATATTACCAGAAATCTTAGAAAAAAGTTAGTCAGTCTATTATTAGGTAAGGGTGTTAAAGTGAATGAACTACGACTGTATTGACTACAAGACTTTTTTGCCTTCCTCTTCAGGCCTATAAGGTAAGGGGGTTAAAAGTGAATGAACTACAACTGTATTGGCTACAACACTTTTTTGCCTTTCTTTTCAGGCCTATGAGGTAAGGGGGTTAAAAGTGAATGAACTACAACTGTATTGGCTACAACACTTTTTTTCCTTCCTCTTCAGGCCTGTTAGGTAGACAGACATGTCAAGATGCCCTCAAATCAAGATGTTATTCCCCCCAAATTATTTCTGTTCCACTCTGACGGTTATTTTGCTCCATATAGACCTTATTCACTGGCTGAACAGAAACCCTTAAAACATGAAAGTGCAACATTTTAACTAATGTTGTAGCTTCTACTGAGCAAACTAAGAAATAACCAAACTATCTTTTTGGTACAAATAATTTTCAATATATGTAAAATAATAATTTTTATTTTGTCATATAGATGCACTTTCACATGGCGATTCTCCTCTCTATTGATCTTGCTATGAAAAAATAAGAAATCATTAATAACTTAAAAGTGATTAATTTTGTGTCCTTTTTATAGCATTTTTGGATTCCTCAGGCCAAAAAGCTTTCCTGAGCCAATTTTTAGGAGTAGGGAAGCTCTAGAATTAATTTTACAGACAAAAATAGATTATGAAAGGTTATGATTTTTTGCGTGATCCCAAAACTGGGGAAAACTAAAAATGACATGAATTGGACAATTTTGAGAATTAAAAGGTCAAATTTGGGGGATTGTCTTGCTTTAACATCATCAACATATGGACAAAAATTCAGAAAAATTGAAGGGTGACATTTTTTTTTTTCTGGATGATTTGACATGGTTACCAAGATCAATATACATATGAGGAAAGCCAGAGGGTACAATGGCCTAAACGTTGTGATAACAACAAAGATGAGGTCAATAATCTGAATATAAACAGTGTAAATAATGATAACTCCTCATCCCAGAAATTCCAATAAAAGGTAAAAACATGTTTCTTTTTCATATGTGAATTTAATTATAGATACGATTTTGTTTATTTCTTTTTTAGATATAATTTAATATTGGGTGGATATCTTAGAAGGTTGATCTATGTAACAAAAGTATTCTGTATTTTGGGATTAGATTCTAGAAATTCTAGAAGGTGGCAGGCTAAAACATCATTGATAGGAAAACTCATAAGTAGGATGAATTTTTATTTCTAAAAATTATCATTGAATAAAATTGTCAACTTTGCACTAACCATGGCTTTTTTCAACCATTGTTGAATGTCGACAATTTTTTTTTATGACTGTAGGGAGTGGTTTATTTTTATTTTTGTGTGGTAGTTCTTTAGAAAATATGACAAAGATGGTGTAAGGATGCAGAAGGTGGTTATCTTCTTTTTTACAGGATGAATTTACTAGCCCTAAATAACCCTGAGGGTCATATGACAATAGCCCTATAGTGATTAGCTCCCAAAGGAGACAGATCTAGTACCCAGCAGCAGCAGCAGCGAAAGCCATGCACCCTAAATAATGGAACTATCATTTAGTTCACACTACTCCCCACTTTTAAACAGAGGTAGAGGTTCAGCCCTTGTCTGTTTAAGATTGGATTTCCGGTTTCTCCTAAAGTCTACTTCAACTCTATACTCCTAACATCCCTACCTATTCAATAATTAAATCCTGAACTCTGTAAGGCTAGAATTAGCTGTCTATCTTTTATGTAAATAGTGTAAATAAGTAAGACCTTCTTCATAATTGTCCTTTCACTTAATCTGCTTGCTTTCTTTCATACAATGATTTACCTCCCTTACATTCCCTTAATTTGACTGAACCAGTCTCATATTCTCATAATTCCTACATAAAATATAAAACAAAAATAGAATAATCTACGTTCTTACTAAAGAGACAAAACTAAAATACACATTTTACATTAAGTTCTGAAAATTTATTTACTATTTTATTTTTCCTTAATAGGAGTAGATAGGTTTGCCTATCATCCAGTTCACACTCGTCCTCAATCTTTTGAACAGGAGTAGAGGCTTATCATTTGATTCCTGTTTAAGATTGAGTTTCCAGTTCCTTCTAAAGTGTTCTCATTCTCTTTCACTCCCACTAGCCCCATGCATCTTAGTGGCATTACTGCCTTGCTTGGAGTGAATTGATTAAAAAAAAAAAAAAAAAAAAAAGAAAGAAAGGAAAAAGGCAAATATGAATAAATGTGCCTGCAATAAGATGCAGTATCAAAAGTATGGTTTTCCCATGACACCACTTTTTTTTTTAACTACCTACATAAACACATATTGTCACTTTTAGGACTCATAGTGTCCCCAGGGGAGTGTTACCATCCACGTTTAGAATCACTGGGGTCACTGAGCTAGGTAAAAATAATCTGATCGTGGATATTCAGTATTCGGTATGTGAAAATGAATTCTGAAAATTTGTGACTGAAAAATCTTGTCATGGTAACGCAATACATACCGCCAAAATTTTACTTTTGTGTAGAGAACATGCAGGTGCTTTCGACAATTTAATGTTAGAAATTATCACAATTTGTTTTTACTGTTGAAGGGGAGACAACTCGGTCAGTTCTAACAAAATAAAAAGCAGGTGTTGCCAAGTGATTAGAACGTTTGCTTTTACAACTATGCGACCCGGATTCGAACATCACCTTTGATCAGAAAGGTGACTTTGATGTTATCGTCCTGAGGAGCCGATCCCAGCCTGCAGCACCTTTGGAAAGTTCCTGAGGGAAAGCATATCACCGGTTGATGACTGATGCTTTAGCACGAAGTTGCAAAACTAAAGTAAATCGTGACCAAAGGGTTACTGGTCTTGTTCAAACTGTTGATCATGACAGATGGTGCCTTCTCTCCCAGAAAAATGTAACTAAGACCGGATCAACAGTAGTTGTAGTATAAACCACAGGTGGGTTCTGCAACTGTCGAACGAAGGCGTCTGCAACAGGAATTGGCTAGGCAGCGCCCTATCAGTCATACGCAGATAACATACTTTTAAATTTTTAAAATGTCCGTTTTTAAAGCCTTAACAAAAAAAAAGTAAATACTGTAATAATGTAGATTTTTTTTTATTTTTCTATAATAGACAGTATTATTTTTATATAGTTTTACTTTTAAGTTTAGGAAAAAGGATTTTTATTATTTCACGTCAAGCAGGGCATATTAAGGGGCAAGGAGTTACTGAAAGTAAAGTGAAACAAAGAGGACAATAGAACAGGTTTCAAGAGAACGTTCGATTTTGCTTTTTTTTTAATTTTTAAAGCGTCGTTGTGAGGAAAGCAGGAAGCCATGAGAGAGTTGCACAAGGGAGAAGTGCAAGAGAACAAACTATTCACACAGAAGTTGCAGAACAATTACCATGAAAATATTTATAAGCAATGATATGGTTTTATTTCGGTAAAACTAAAAGTTTAGAGTCGGGGGGATAATTCGGATGGGGAAAAAATGAAACTAATTTTGTTAATAATAATACTCTCTAAAATGGCTGTTTGGAGGAATTCTGAAGGATTTATGTGACTTTGTAGAATTTGTTCCTAGAGAAGCAACCATCCAAAGACGTATTGAGAAAGAGGTTCTATGGTCATGACTCATTAGTGATTAGCGATCCGCTTATAATGGGATAATTTTTTAAAAATATTTTTAAAAAAATATAAATTCATTCATTTGTGAATAAGTTCTGGAAGTTTCATTAAAATCCGACAATTATTTGATTTTTGCAAGAATTTCCAAATCAATGTTTTTCAGCTGAAAAAAAGGCGCTAAAACACTAATCGTAATACGTCGACCGCTCATGCAAAAAAATAAAAATAAAAAATAAAATAAAATAAAAAATAACCAAAATTTCAAACGTTTTTAAGAGTAACACGTTCGAAATTTTGGTTAAAAAAAAGATTAAAAAATTTAATAAAATAATAAAAGACTAATTTGATCTTTGCTCTTTTGACGAAAAAACTTCGTTTTTATTAAGTTTGTTTGGGGCTTTTTTTTTTCATTATGATATGTTGTTTTTCAGCGAAAAAGTAGGGGTACATAGGCTAAAAAATGATCTGGGGTAAAATTACAAGTTTAAAAAAAATATCATGAAAATAATTTTGCTGATTTAACAATAACATTTTAATTTCTTTAGTAAACTCAAAATAGCTGACTTCATCTCTAAAGCGTTTTCTCAGGGAAAAAGTAAAGGAACCAGCAAGCATGCTCATGAATGGGAATATTTGCTGAATATATATTTCGAGTAAAATCAAAAAATCTATTTGAAAATTTAAAAACAAACTATATATAAATTTTAACGCGCGAATTATGGCTCGTTTTATGGCCCCGGTTTTAGTCATTTTTTTTACTTTTGTTTGCCGTTAGTTTTTAATTTATGAATACTGAATAAAAATCCAAATGGTGAAAATGTTGATTAAAAAAAGAAAAAAAATGACTGAAAAGATGGGTTTTATTTTTATTCGATTTTATAGTGACTTTTTTTTTGTTGTTGTTGAAACTGACAAAATGACCGCGCAACAAAACGTGATCAGCATGCTTTTTTTCAATAGTTTAAAAATTAAAAAGAATTACGCGGTACACAACGTGAACTTATGTAGAAAAGAGATTGTAACGAGATAACAAGGAAATGGCGTTTAAAAAAAAAAAAAGTTAATAAAAATCTTACGAATTCTGAGAAGAAGAGTGTTTTCGTTTTGTGCCACTTGATTGCTTACTGTTAGTAACAGAAGAATGATCATCATTACTAGAGGTTTGTGTTACAGAAGTCGACGTTTTAGATTGGATTGCAAATACATCCCTGTGTTGTAAAATCCACCGTAAGATATTGTCTATCAATTCATTTTGCTCATCGCTTTTCTGAATCATTTTCTCGAAGCCGAGGCTTAAATCAAAACACACATCATCCGAATTGCTGTTTTTTGTGACCGTGTAATAACGCAACCGACTTTTATCATACAACATTTCACGCTTTATATCCAAAGAAAAATGTCCGATCTCCTGAGGTCGACGATAGAAAGGAAATTTTTTGTCAAATTTCTCACGGGGAAATAGAGAAAATATATTTTTCTTTCCATCCGTTTCAATATATTCTGATCCAAGTTTTTGTTTTTTTGGTGCAGTGGCTTCCTCTTCTGTCGAAGCCATGTTGATATCCAGACGGTGTAAGGCGAAAACTGTTCCCGATGTACAAAATGGTTTCCGTTTTTGACCATGAATCCTTCTTTAGGAAACTATTGTGAGTAAAACATATTCTCACATAATTCGGCATGACGATTGTCCAGAGATCGACGTCTTTGCAGATATTTTGACTTCAAGCAAATCTTTGATCATATTTAGCTGTATAAGATTCACATATTTTGAAAAGCCCAATTAATTTAAAAAAAAGTAACTTATTGAAAGAAAATAACTTACGTACCGACAAAATTTGAGTTAAAAAACCTTATAAAAACGCATTTAAATGCCTAATTTTTTCATATGAATTTTGGTTTTATTTGGAAGACAATATCGTTTTTGTGTTAATTCATCCCAAATAAAATTTACTTATCACCCAAGAAATTGTAAAAATCAAAGTTTATTTTTTATTAGAATTTTTTTTGCACTCTTTTGAAATTTTTTGAAATTATAAATTTTTTTTTGAGTTGTTGCAAGGCAATTGCAACAACTCCAACTCTCAGAATTAAAAATTGCCAAAAATTAGGGAGTTATTCACATTTCAATTCATACAGATGAGGTACTTACAAGGAATTTTTACAATTTAAAAAAAGAAGAAAAAATCTGTTTTCGTTTTGTTTATAGGAGTGAGCGTGAATGCTGACCCCACACTTAGAAATAATGCAATCGAGTCGCCCACATTTGGGGCGATCACAAAGGTCAACCCAATTGGAGTGCAATGGCAGGGTGTCGCGGCCGCCATTAGCCGCTTCTTAGAAAGACGACCTTGACTTTCACAACCCCTGATCTCGCAGATTTAAGTCCAGCACTGGACGACTGGCCAATATGGTGAACTCCAAAACTGTACCTCATAAGCATTAGGCAGCGCTTTCCAAACACCGAACAACATGGGGAGTAATTTTATATCTACGGTTGCTACTCCCTCTAGCCATGGAGTACTTGAATAAATCATTCCACATATTGTTAGCCCCTTTTTTTCGTTCAAATCGGAGCTACTCGGCTTGTAGTGTAGTGTAGTGCGCTACCTTTGTGAGCTTCCGGTGCTTTGTCGAGAGAATACTCTTTGGCGCGATCCCGTCTCCGCAATCGATCCGCCCTGTAAGACGTATCACTATTCTGACTGGGCCTGTTTAGGGACTCGTCCTAACCGATATAACGAATCTTCGTGCGACATCGATCAACCTGCTGCTGTTCCCCAATCCGGCAGTTGACCAGCTACCGCCGCCGATCAACTCTACATTCGTTTCGCCGATACGACCGAAATCAACTACCCCTGAAAAAAACCCAGTCATACCGGACCCGACACCGATACAAACATATTTCTCCAGAGTACACTCTTGTACATTTTGGATAAATAAAATCGACGTTATTGTTTCTTAAACCTTTGCCTTTGTCCCCTCATTGTCTTCTGTTTTATAAAAAATTTATTTTTTATTTAAAGAAAGAATTTTTTTTAAAAAGTCAATTTTTTAAATGTAAGACCGTCTAGTTGTTGTTTTTTTTTTTGTTTATTTACACGTCTTTTGAGGAAGGTGTATTTTTTTTTTGTAAGCCGGACGGTGTGTGTGTAAAAAGAAAAAACTGTGCAATTTTTATGACCATTTCGGATCAAGATTTGCCGCCAAAATTGTTGCCAAAATCGTTTGAGAAACTCTGATTTTCTTGTGTAAAATTTATGAACCTTTTGGATCAGGAATAGCCGCCAAAAGTGAAATTTTTAGAAAGGCCTTTTTTCATATATTGGCCAATGAAAATTGAGTTTTCGAAGCCCGTAGAGATTCCGGATGGCCCCAAGTGGAGCCGACTTTTAAAAAAAAAAAAGAGAGGACATTAAGAAATGATGGGGAGAAGCAAAAAATAACGAAAGGGAACAGAGGCAGAGACGACACGCAGTTCGCAGACCACTTAACACCATCACTCTACTTTGACCGGCAAGTGGGCCATAAATCAGCCTTTCTCCAACTACCAAACCAAACCAATCCGGCCTGCTGTCAATGAAAATTCTTCAAAGAAAGTAGAGCCAACCTTTTCCAAATCAATCCGGCCTGTAGTCAACGAAAATTCTTCTAAGGAAGGAGGTGGGTGCCTTGCGTTCTGCTATGTGTTGGTCTCTCTAAAAACTCTGTCCCTTTTTTATGTACCTTTTGTAAAAGCTCTAAAACTTTGTCCCTTTTTTTGGTATTGTTGTAAAGGGTCTGAAAACTTTATCCCTTCTTTTGGTGTTTTTTGTATTTTTGAAGGGTCTGAATTTTCAAAAACCGGAGTTAAAGTAAACAATTATTAATTTCATAGCTTGTTTCTGTGGGTATTTCCTTTTTAGAAACCCCAGGAAAATATTGTTATCCTGCCATATTAGGCGCACAGAAGGAAATTTTTGTGCAACCTTTCTTGTCCTTGTTTGTAACTTTGTGATTATTGTAAAGTAATTGTACAATAAATGTTTTTTCCTGTTTTAAAATTTTACACAGTGATTTGTCTTGTATTTTTAACTCGCGCCTACTAACGACAGTTATCGTTTATTCTGCCAACTAAATTTTGTGTCTTGGCACAAGGAGTTGGTAGGAGCGTGAAAAGAAAGAAAGAAACCAAAACATTTTTTACCGTTTACACCTTTCTTCGTAAAGCTTTTTTCGGGGGCGACATCCTTACCGACCCCGCAACAACGGCCTCGCTCTAGGAGAATAATTAAATATAAACTATTTTTATTTTGGGGTAAATTAACAGAAAATATATCATTAACCTAACTCTAAAGCTAATCTGTATGAAAAAAAAATTCTAAACGTAAATAAAGTTTTTAAATATTTTTCAAAAACATTGTCACGTTCACTCGTCATTCCTTGATCGAACTGCCATTTTAGATGATAAATGTAAACAAATTTAAAAATCCAATATTTCTTCTACAGCTGTGTTTCAGGTAAATTTGCAGATTAAGACCCGTCCTCAGTTTGCAATAAAATATTTCCCGAATACTTACATTTAGGTGTAAATGTACATGCTTCATTGGAAAATGACTTGATAAATTTTATAAAATCTACTGTTTTGGAGTTATCAACAGTAAAAGTTCGGATTCATTCGTGTGACAAACATTATTGGCGTTGTTTGCATACAATCGCTGCGGAATAACTATGAATGGGATATTTAATTGTCTTGATTATTGTGCATGCAAAATAGTTCTCTTGTGCAGTAATTGCAACAAGTAAGATCAGTAAACAAGGCTGTTAACTATGTTCTCTTATGCGCTTAGCTTTCCCCAGTGAATGTATGAAAACAATGCCAGTAAGTAATGGTTGCCACGGCGCGAATGAATCCGAACTATCGATAACTCCAAAAAATGGTAGATTTTTTTTCAAATTTATCAAGTCATTTTTGAATGAAGCATGTACATTTAAACCTAAATGTAAGTATTCGTAAATTTTTAATGCTTTTTAGTATGTCTGTTAGTAGGGCTAAATTTGATGAACAGTGTAACAAAAATCTTTGATAGTAATTTATCATACCACTAAACTTTTGAAGTTGACGAGTTGACTCTGGTTGAGGGAAAATTTTTGCAACATTTACCTTCTTAGGTAGAGGTGATATTCTAGTTTAGTCTATTTTTTCATTTTATGTGCTATGTCCTTTCAGCAAGTTCCTTCCTTCTGTTTCCTCCCTCAGACTACGTTCTGTTATCTACCTGCTCAGACTTGCCAGGTATGTCATATTCTGCTTTCCCTTGTCTCTCTTTCCCTCTATTCGACCCATGAGTATCAGATTCTCCAGGCCCTCTTTCTCATTATGTACCACAGAAGCTTCAGCTGTTGCTCTGAGCCGTAAAGGAATTTTCTTTCTTTTTTACTAATGTCTATTTCAAAATGTTTTTTTTTTTTAATATATATTCAGGAGAACGTCACGTCGGTATCACCACTTTGTAGCAGATATATATTCTTTTGATGAGAAGTTATAAGCTCTTGATACATTTGACCTGCTAAACAATTTTTGGTGGACTTCTAGCGGACCCCCCACACCGGATGGGGGGCGATATGAAACCACGGCCCGAGCACAAAGGTGAAACAAAATGGTTGAAATGGATGCTGAGGTGCGTTCGTTCCGGTCGTCTCGACGGTTGGAGTTGAGGTGCAGACGTTCCGGTCGTGTCGCCGTTTGGCCGTTGCAATGCAGGCATTGCTGGTCAAGGTCGGTGCCAAAACCTCCCGTAGTAATTACAACCGATAGTATACGGGAAAGGTTGGTCGTTGTAGACGATCGCTACTGGTTAGCTGGTCTGGTTTCGGAAGGAACAGGGAGCTGGCGTTGCGCAGTATCGGCGACAGCATCTGGTCATTGCCGGGAAGCTGACGTAGCGATGTTGTTGGGCATATCAAATGTCCAGTGCTGGCGTTGCGTGTCTGCTGGTCGAGTCCGATATCGAAACCTCCCGTAGTAATCATAAACGTAGTGTACGGGAAAGGTTACGGAATGCCGAGAGTTGAACGTGGGCAAAAGAAGGCGAAGTAAAGAGAGGAAGATCCAACTCGCGCCCAGTTGGCAGACAAAAAAAAAAAAATGGGAACGTAACTCAATCTGTGTCTCGGTGCCGACCGAGAATTCGGCGTGAAGTCGCTGTGTTATGCCAAGGGAAACCAACAGCAGACCCGGTCTCGCTAAAATGCTAAAAAGTCTCTCTAAAAAATGTTGAGATTTGCTACGCAAAAAAT